TGGTAGGGTCGCAAGGAACATTTCGAGGCAAATAGCTTTTAGCTTCTGTTGAATCGTCTCCTGAGGACTCATTGCTTTGTGTTCTGCTGGAAGCCAAAGAGAAGAGCCTCCTTGAATCTTGCTACATAAGGCCCGGTACTGTCCCTGTGGGTTGGACCCCTGTGCAAAATCTGCTGGCCCTGGATGTGGGCTCCGATCTGGCTATGATAGGACCAGTACCCTTGACTAAGGATCAAGAGATCAAGCTCTTACCACTTCCCTTATAGGAATGCCAAAGCCATCTGTCACCCTGGGCTAGAGCAGGCTTGTGCTATGGTCTATGCTCTAGCCACAGTCACTTCCAAGTCACGCTTTCATCTAGTGATCAGCACCAAAGGCCCCTGGGCCCCCTGTGGACATGGCTTCAATGCAGGACAGTGGGGTCTGGCACCCCAGGAAACAGTAGCAGGCCAGTTGCTCACGGTTCTCTCCTGTCTCTGGAAGGGAGCATCTCAACCAGACCTGAATCCCAGGAACCCTTGACAGTGTGGTTCAGTGGAAGGGATCTGTTTAGCAAGCCAGTATTAGGCACCTCTATTTCCTTTTCTATGAAATGACAACTCATTTCAATTCTAACTTATCGGGCTGTTTGAGAGGCTCAGACAGGAAAATATATCAGAAAACACTTTGAAATCCGTAAACAGGTGACTCCCCCATCCTCCTGGCTGGATGTCGACAGCAGGCCTGGTGTGCCTGGTAGAGAGGGGCCAGACAGGAAAAGGCCAGCATCCCCACGGATCAGGGATGAGGAAAGTGGGTGACAGAGAAGCTGGGAGGCAGCACAGTAGAGTGGTCAGGGGTGTAGGCTCTGAAGTCAGAGAAACTTGGACTAATTCTCAGTGTGGCCCACTCACAGCTATGAGATTTGCAGAAAATGACTCAACCAAACCTCAGTTTTCTGGACTGAAAAATGGGGATAATGTTAGTTCTTTTCTCAGAGAGTCATTTTGATGGAATAAGATGCTATTTGTAAAGTACTTAGAATAGAACTTGCTCCATTAGTGTTAGCTGACATTCATATGGAATCAGGGGATAGGAGGTGGCTGGTGCTGAAGGGAAGAGTTAAAGGTTCCTTTAACTCCCCACTTCCATCATCTATAAGGTGAGCCCCTCTCAGTTTGGAAGCTACTCCCCCCCTCCCCGCTCCCATGATAATGCTGGCTGCTCTGGAGAGCTAGGGTGGTCTGAGAAGGGCACTGGGTGTTGAAGCTGGGAACACACAAGCAGCATGGTAATTTATTGTGGCCAAAAGGGAATCACAATCTTTCTCACATAAGGAGTACCCCCGGGCACTGTTAAGCCCTCTAGGTTCAACATCTTCCTCCTCCAGGAAGTCTCCCTGGGACCCCTCCAACTTGACCACTCTCCTCTGCACCTCCACTAGCTGTGCCCCATACTTCCCTGTTGCTTACACCTGTGTGCAGAGCTCCTCAGAACCCTTCAGTGCCCCATCCTACCCCTACATGCAGGACTAGGCAAAATTGCTCAATCTGGTCTCTCCTATAAAATGAGAACTTAGACCAGATGGTCTCCAAAGTCCTCCCTGGCTCTAAATTTCATAGTCACTTCTCTGGGGCTTCTTCCCCTGCTCTTTGCCTATATCTTAATGCTCCCCCCCCCTTACATCAAAATTGACTTTTAGTAGCCAGAGGTAGTGGCACATGCTTGTAATTCCAGTGACTAGGGAGGCTTATGGCAGGAGGATCACAAGTTTGAGGTCAGCCTTGGCAATTTAGTGAGACCCTGACTCTAAAGACAAAAAGGACTGGGAATGTACCCTAGTAGTAAAGCACCCCTGGGTTCAATCTCCAGAACCAACAGGGCTCATTGGTGCTGTGCTGGCCTTCATGCAGGCCTTGGGTTCCAGCTCCGCACTGCAAAAAGCCCAAACACACCGGTCAAGGGTTCCCAGTGCACTGCCACTCCCCTGCCCCTGCCCATTTGCTCACGCCCTTCCCTTCTGCATGGTCCCCAGTGAAAGCCTCTCAAGTGCTGCAGAGCCACCGAGCCTTTGCTCCCTCCCCTCCGCTCTATGCTCCACAGCATTTTGCTCTTGCCTAGCCCTTGGTTTGTCTGGATTCATCAAGGTCAAGGACATTGCCCCACTCATTCTGGTCTCCTCCATGACAGCAGCACAGTGCCTTGTCGAGGAGGTGTATTGATAATTTGTGTGTAAAAAAAAAAAAATTGTTCCAGACCTAGCCTGGGGCAAAACTTTATTGCATGATTCATAACCTCTCTCAGGTACGAAACATCATTCTTGATAAAATGCTTAAGCAATTTCCCAATGAACTTTGGTGGAATTTAGCTTTAATCTAGGAAACCAGCCACCCTCCCAACTGACTGAGGCCAGAGTCTGGTGACTGTCAACTGCTCTTTGTATCTTAGAGTGGTCTGATTGTCTCTTTTCTAGTAAGACTGTCCCCACCATGAGTGTGTATTCATTGGTGCCTAGAGGATGTTTTCTTTGTAACACAACTATAACAAAACTTTTTTGACATGTCCTCAAATTGTCTGAACTGTTTTTAGATCTACAGAAGAGTTGCAAAATATTATGGGGAATTTCTTAGCATTCCTCACTCAGCCTCTACCAATAACATCACCCACCTAGGGAACAAGAACCAGAACCAGGCAATTATTGTGGGCGTACCATCTTTAGCTGATGACTTTTAATTTTGCCATTTTGAAGCTTTTTTTTAAAGTTAAGATTCCAAAATCTTAATCTGAAATTTCATATAATAAACTTTTAAAAAATATTTTTTTAGTTGTAGATGAACACAATCTTTATTTTTATTTATTTTTTTATGTGGTGCTGAGGATTGAACATAGGGCCTCATGCATGCAAGGCAAGCACTGTACCACTGAGCTACAACCCCAGCCCATAAGTAGTTTTTAATAAGGGATTTGATATTTCACCAATCCATGTATGCATTTTTTTTTCCTGGGACTGGGAATTGTATACAGGGGTGCTCCATCATTAAGATTTTTTTTTTTTTGAGACAGGTTCTTAGTAAGATCCTTAAAATTGGGATCTTCCTGTCTCAGCCTCCCAAATCACTGGGATTACAGGAATGAGCCATGGTGCCCCCATTTCTGTGTGTGCATTTTATTTCATACTGAGGATTGAACTCAGAGTGCTTTACCACTGAGCTACACCCCCAGCATCCCCCTTTTTTGAGACAGTTGCTGAGGACCCCACTAAATTGTTGTGTTTGACCTTGAATTTGTGATCCTCCTTCCTCAGCCTCCTGAGTTGTTGGGATTACAGGTGTGCATCTCTGTGCTCAGCTGTGTGAATGCATTTTAATAATCACTTTGAGATGTCAAACCTCATCACTCTGTTGCCTTTTGTTTATGTAGCAGCCTCTAACATTTGCCAGTGTGACTGACCTCATTTTTTCCAACTAAAATTTTTCTCATGAAATATTTTAAATATATCAACTAAAATGTATATTGTCACTTATTAGTAGTGTTCAACAAAAATTCAAATAGGGCTGGGGACGTGGCTCAAGAGGTAGCGCGCTCGCCTGGCATGCGTGCGGCCCGGGTTCGATCCTCAGCACCGCATACAAACAAAGATGTTGTGTCCGCCGAAAACTAAAAAATAAATATTAAAAGAAAAATTCAAATAGCCTCAACTGTGCTGTATAAAATCAGTTGACAACATTTAGGGTATTTGTGGATTTATCCATCCTTTGCAGTAATTCTGGGCCCCTGAAGGATGAGGCCCACAGACTGGGAATCCCTGGTAAATCCATAATAGATCCAAATGGTAAGAAATTCTATGTCAGAGCTGTATGGAGTGAGTGCCTTGTAGTTGACTCCTCTCAAGATCCTCTGGGGAGGTGGTTGCCTTCCCTTCCACTGCCTGGTTGTGGGTGGGAGAATTCACCCCAGGAAGAGGAAGCAGAAAGAGTCCCAGGCTTTCAGGTGGGCAGAGGAACTGTCAGGACATGTGCCAAAGAGGTCAGGAATAAGCATGAGAGGCACAATCTTGTTGGTTGATGGGAAGAGCACTGCGAAGCAACGTGGGCAGGGATTAAGGGACTCGATGGGCTGGAGTCTCAGGAAAAGCTGGGATCTAAATCCAGCAACATGTCTTACACGTCATCTCAGGCAAGTTATGTCTCTGAATTTCAGATGCCTTCTTTGTAAAATGAAAATAACCTAATACCTTCCTCATGGAGCTGTGACCTGACACTTAACCCAGGGCAAGACATATATTAAAAAAAAAAAAAATAGGAGGCTGCTAGAGCAGTAGTCATACTGGTAACAACAGCAGTAGCCAGCCCCAGCCCCAGCAGCGGGGACATGAGACTGTTATAACAGCTCAGTGACTGTGGACTACAGGTCGTGGGGAAGTTCTAACACGGATCCCTATGGGCACCCGGAAACAGATGGGGCAGGGAGAGAGGGCAGCAGTGTGGATTCTCCAGACTTGAGATAGCCCCAAGAGCCTAGAGTAAGTCCCACCTGGCTGGCGCACACTCCTCTGAAAGCCCATTCTTCATCCCCTCTCCCCCAATACCTGGCTGTTTCCTCCTTCCCTGGCAGCAGCAGGCTGATGGGTTTGAGGCCCCTGAAGGTATCTTATCCCCCCAAAGTGGGGAGGCTGCTAATGGAGTCTCAAATCAGACCTAGTGAAGAGGCCCCAGGCCAGGTCACACATTGCAGGATTGCTGGAGAAGGTGCCCTCTCCCTCCGTCCCTGCCCAGACCTCAGGCAGCCACAGAGCCCCTGGACTCAGAGTGAGGGTATACAAGGCTTTATTGGCTCAGTTCCAGGCATTTGGCATCGTGTGGGGCTCTTGGCTGCTCCTGGGATCTGCCTCCTCGGTCTTCTCTCGGTGGGTCTTCAGGGACCTCAGGGTCTGTCGTGCTTTGCCTTCTGCCAGCTCTTCCTCCATCAGAGGCCATCCTCTTTTGCAGATTCCACTCATGATCTCTGTCGGGGGCCTGAGGAAGAAGGGATTTGGCAGCAGCATCTCACCCTGGGCCCAGAGGATTCCCAAAAGGAGGGAAAACAGGCCTGTGTATGTGGGCCAGCCCTGCTGGGGGAAGGGGTACATGGTTAGGTGCCTTCAAGAGTCACAGTTTTGGTGGCTGCGACTGGGCACACTATGGCTCTGGTGGCTTGGGTGACCTGAATGGTTCTGCTGGCTTAGGTGCCCTGAATGGCTCTGCTGGCTTGAGTGACATGAATGGTTCTGCTGGCTTGCGTGAACTGAATGGCTCTGGTGGCTTGGGTGACCCAGAAGACCTTGGTGACTTGAGAGGACTGGATGGTTCTGGTGGCTTGGGTGACCTGGAAGACCTTGATGGCTTGGGTGGCCCAGATGACCCTGGTGGCTCGGGTAAACTAGATGACCATGTTGGCTTTTGTGGCCAGGACGACCCTGGTGGCCATGGTGACTGTGGCCACGGAAAGTGTGTGGGTGGTTGGCACCAGCGATGGTGTCTTCCCTCTGGGCGAGGAAATTCACTTTCAGCTTAATCTCCACTTCCTCGAGGGCCTTCAGTTCCTCTGGGGTGACATCCTTGGCCTCCAAGTGGCCTGAGTGCTGGTAAGCTGTGGCTCGCTGCAGCATAGAGTTAGCCAGGCGCTGCCCCTTCGTATCAATCTCCTTGGTACAAGCAACCACGGCAGCCCATATGGCCTCATCTGTGGATGAGGATTTTCCAGATTCTTTGAGGGTCTCTTTGATCACTGAAGGCCCACACATCTTCTGCTTGCTGGTGAAGGACTCCCTGTGCATAGCTGTGCCCTCCTCTCCTTGCTTGGTGGTAATAGTCTCCATGCGAATAGTGGTGTTGTCCTCTCCACTCCCACTCCCAAAGCATTGGGAGGCATTGTTGTTGACACCGACACATTTGGTGGAGACCAGCTTCTCGTCAGAAAGGCGGCTAAAATGAGATTTGATCCAGTTGTCATTCGCTTTGCGGCATTCTGGTGATTCATTTCGTGGAGACTGAGTGGATGTCTTCCTTCTCCTTTTTCTCTGAGTCCACAGAATAAGGCCTCCGCCTCCAAGCAAGAGGATAGTTCCCAGCACCACCTTGCATGATGGTTGCTGGATGAACTCCAAGAAGGTCTCCAGGACCCTACTCCCAGCAGCAGAGCTAAGAGCACTGCTGAGCTAAGAGAAACAGTGCGGGAGCCCAGGTGGTATGGCTCATGCTTGAAAGAGCAGGCTCCCCACGGGCGTCTGGCAGGCAGGCCCTGCTGCACCCTCCCTAGGATGCCTCCTGCCACCTCAGCAATAAACCCCATTGTGAGGAAGGCAGCTGGGGGTGGGGTGGGGGGAGGTTACCACATCCCTCATGTCTAGCCTGGTAGGCATTGTTTAAGGCCTGGGTCCTTTCTCCTGTCCAGGCATCTGTCCTCAACGTCAGTGGAAGGGCAACTTCTCCAATGTAACCCATTCTGCTAGCTACCAGTTCTTATCTTTCAATCTTTGGTTTCTCTCCCTCCCCAGCTGTTGGCCCCCAGAGGGCAGAGGTTGCTCGGACAGACTGGCCATGGTAGAAAGAACCCCTTGGCTAGGCTGGCATTCATTTTTGGCCCACCAAGGCTGGTGTCTACCTCTATGCAGGGCTCATCTCTGCTGCCAGCTCAGCACATTCCATTCCTGCTTGCAGCTCCATCCCCACTAGTGGCAGAGTCCAGACGGAAAAGGGCCCAGGAAGGGGCTCATTCTGGAATAACATGAGGTCACAATTGGGGGGAGACAAGCAGTGGACTGAGAAGGCAGAGCAGAGAAGAGACTTCATTGGGTCCCAGATTCTTGGGGCCATTATGGGTGGTGGGATGCCTTTTCCATAATTGCCTGCACAATCCTGAATAATTCCCATGGCTTGTCACGGTAGAAACAGGACTGGGCCACATTCTATGCCCCACCCAAAGGCATCTAGCACATTTATAAAATGAAGAAATGCCAAAATGGGCTTGTAAAAGTTGTGACATTTTAAACAAACTATTTTCTTTAACGGGGAGTAATGGTCTTGATATATATAAAAAATATTTTATCTTTCACAAGAAACCATGCTCCACTCTACATATGGAGGGAATAAGATACAATCTTAAAGTTTTATACGGAACATCATTTCCCCGGTTTTGCTAGAGTGGCTCTGTGGTTGTTCACTAACTTTATTTGGAAACAACAATTCAAAGTCCACCTTCAAAGTTGTTTACTGTGAATTCAGGGTCAAATGGCTCTTCTGAACAACCCCTCCCTCCAGTCTCTGGTTATAACATTTATTTCAAAAGAAAACTCTGTATTCATATTTTCAGTACAAATTAGCAATGCTAAAAAAAAAAAAAAAAAGAGCTACATAGTTTCCAATAGGACCTTCCAGAAGAATCTCTAACTAATGTTCATGACACATCCAGGACAGGTTCCCACCTTCTCTCTCTTTCTTTTTAAATCTTTTTTTTTTAAATTGTAGATGAACACAATACCTTCATTTACTTATTTTTATGTGGTGCTAAGGGTCAAACCCAGTGCCTCACACTTGCTTGGCAAGTGCTCAGCCCCTGAGCCATAGCCCCAGCTCCTCCCATATTCTCTTTAGAGGGCTTTGTTGGAGACGCCTTACAGTGTGACACATGATGGCTGCCTCTTCTGCCCCTGAATATTGAACTGCAAAGTCTATTCCAGAACAGGGCAAGGGAAACTGACTTTAGGGCTTACATGGTCTTGTCCTGGGAGCAGTGACAAGACACTTCAGCTTTGTGTTCCCTGTTCCAGTGCTCCATGGTAGAAGAATATGTTGAAACCTGTGACCAAGAACCTGAAGGCTCAGCTCCCTGTTCTAAAATGAGGAAACTGGACTAGAAAAATTAAGTGAGTTCTCAAGTCTCTATAATGGCCAGAGCATGAGTCCCTCCCAGGGCTTCTACCTCCAGACTCCCTCTCCCTCAGGCTCTGTCTCCCTGGAAAGGGGCTGAGGGGCATCCAACAGGAGCAGAAGCCTGTATGCCATATTCACTGAAGCCAGGGCACCCATTCCTGCTGAGAATGGGTGGGTCAATGGAAGGGAGGGTCCAGAGGAGAGCTGGAGGGTTCTCATAGTCTGTGGGTTCTCTGGGTGGCAGGCAGACACCAGATGTAAAATTCACCCTCCCAGCCTTGAACCTTGAAGCCGAAGCACAGTCATCTGTTAGAGGCTGAGGAACTTCCTGCTTTGCTTCAAGGGAATCAGACACAGCCCAACTTGCAGTTCTCTGTGAACAAGCCCCAGCATATATTTACCTAGAGTTGGTATCCCTGCTTAATGTGGGCATCCACAAAGCACTTGTTGTCCCCTGGGGAAGGGTCACATCAACTCTGCCCTTAGCAATGAATGGAGTCTCAGTTGGGCCACTGGACACTGTCACAAAGCAACTTTGCCAATTACACTGCTATTTTAATAATCATCATCATAGAAATCAATACATTCTCATGTCTAGCACCCTACAGTTTACAACATGCTTTTACTTGTATTCTCTCAGATTTTTCTCCCAACCATGCCATGATATGTGTATTATCACTCACCTGTATCAGATGCAGAAACAAAGATTTAGAGAGATTATCCCATAGTAAGTCAATGGCAAAGCTGTGATTGGAAACCAGAGTCCTTGGTCTTAACTGTTACCCTGTACTCCTTTTCTTCTCGTACTGGGGATTAAACCCAAGGGTGCTCTACAACTGAGCTACATCCCCAGCCCTTTTTATTTTTTAATATTTTTTTTAGTTGTTGATGGACATTTATTTATTTATTTGTTTATATGTGGTGATGAGATTCGAATTCAGTGCCTCACACATGCTAGGCAAGCGCTCTACCACTGAGCCACAACCCCAGTCCCCCTTTTTATTTTTTGAGACAGGGTCTCACTAAGTGGCCCAGCAGGCCTTGAACTTGTGATCCTCCTGCCTCAGGCTCCCTAGTTGTGGGCATTCTAGGGATGTGCAGTTATGCCTGGCTGGTGCCACACCATTCCCAAAGCTGGTGCCCACCAGATGCCATTTGTTGAGAAAGTCTGGTCTAGTGACTTAGAAGGGGTGATGGGGTGAGTAGAAAGAAATGGAGCATGGGCCATGCAGTTAGAGACAATTCAAATCCCAGCCCAGCTATATCAGCTGAGTGATCTTGGGCAGTGACCACGTCTCTGAGCCCCAGCTTCCCATGTATGACACAGTGCTACTGAGAGTACTGTCCAGGGATTGCCCTGGGTGATGGATGGGCAGCCGGGCAGGACAGCCAGGTTTTGCTATTTTGTTCTACTTCCACTTATTGCAGTGTAGCTGTGTGGCATGTTGAATGTCATAAATATGATCTGATCCTTGATCTCAGAGAAGAGGAGACCAATGTAAAAGGGGAGATGAGTCAGAGGAAATAGCACAGCGAGCACTAACTCTTGCCAAGGGAGGCTTTGCCCAGAAGAGAATGTGCAAACAGGCTTTGAGGAGAAGGAGATGCCCCCCCCGCCCCCCCGCTGGGCTGCCACATGATCTTCCTTACATCAGCACATGGGGCCCGGTTGACAAGGACGTTCACACCTGTCATCCAGTGTAATCCCCACAAGAGCCCTGGGAGCTACCAAGGAACTTCTGTCCTTTTCAGTGCCTCTGTACAGAGGCAGGCGAGGTTCAGAATCCGTCTACACCCCTGGTCTCTGGCTCCCCACCCCCACAGTGGACAGGCCTGCTTACCTCGGAAGGGGATGGTGCCCATTTTGTACAGGTTCTCCTCCAGTTTCTCATAGTCCACCTCTGCGGTGGCAGTGAAGGGGGTCGTCACAGGGGGATAGATGCCTGCAATGTCCACCTTCCTCCCATCCCCTGAGGCCCAGCCCTTCACATTCCTGGACAGGCCCCTGCTCAGCCCCTGTTTCACAGAGGCCCAGACCCGGGGGCCCAGCATCTCCATAGGAGGCCTGGGGCCCAGCTGTTCTATGGCCCTGAACAAGGCTGAGTTTAGACTCCTTTCTACCTGCTATTAATGATTAATGGGTCTAGTTAAAAATTTGTGGCCTCTCCTGCCTTGTGGACAGTCTGAGGGTCTTGCCCTAGGGTAAAGGGCAATACCCTCAGGTTTCAGAGAGCCTTTTATCTCTGCTGGGGAGCAGCTGGAGAAATGTCACAGTGCACCTCTGCTGCCCTGGGTCCCACTAAAGTCCGGCTCTAGCCCATCCTCCTCCATAATTCCCAGCCCTGAAGCCGGGAGCACTGCCAGTTTCCAGGCAGTTTCGAGGCTAGTGGAGCTGATTGGCTGAGCTGGCCAGGCCCTGCCCTGCGGGAGGGAGGTGCCACACACCAAGTGAGAAGCTTCCGGTAACAAGCCACCTCACTCCCCTGCCAGGCTCCTCCTGCCAAGGAGGCCTTGTGTCAGGCCTGTGCTGGCTATACATAGCTCCACAGGACAGAAGTTACCAGGAAGGGGCCAGGATGAGCATATCAAAGAGCTGACCTGTGCATGGGCCAAGCCTGACTCCCAGGGATTTGGGAAGAGGCAGAAAAACATGGTGACAGGATAGAAGCATGGAGAATCCACAGTAGGAAGGCTTTCAATTCTCCTAATCCCCAAACCCATCTTTCTCCCAGTCTTCATTCCTCAATATTTTGAACACAAATGGAAACAAACATCACAAATAGCAAAATGAACTTTTTTATTGTAATCGTTCATGAGTGCTCCCGGATTATGCAGGAGGTGGCTGGGTCCTCAGTTAGCTCTTGGGGCCATTCTGTGACCATCTGGCTGCACATGAGAGGAGCCAGGTGCCTGGCTGGGCTGTGGCAGGCATTTATTGGGCTGGCACAGGCTGGGGAGTCTGGCGCCCACTCCCAGGCCCCTCTAGTCCGTTCTGCTCTGAGCCAGGGTCCAGGTGTTCCAGGGCGTGCCGGGTATCTGCCTGCCATAACTGCACCAGGTCCGTGGGGGTCTTTCCTGCCTGGGGGGAACCACAAGGAGATCTGTTCACGGTTCAGAAGTCTACCAAAAAGGTGTCCTCAGCTACATCAGTGGTTCTCAACTGGGGCCACTGGACACAGTGAAGACATTTCAGTGGTCACAACTGGGAGAGTGGGGACTTCTGGAATCTAGTGGGCAGAGCCAGGGACACTGCTTAAACTCCTTCGATGCCTAGGATAGTCCCCCCACAACAAATTACCCAGCCCCAAATGTCAATAGTACTGAGGTTGAGAAACATCCATACCTTCTCCATATCTTCCTTCTTATAACCTCTTAGTCTTCCCTGTATCAAAGGGACCCTCCTATGCCCCTCTATATTTGATTGTTCTGGGCCCCATTTCTGAGGGTCAAAGTCCAAACTCTTGGATCTTCATCCACCCTCATTAAACTCAAGGACCACCAGAAACCAGCACAGTGTGCTAGGAATGGAGGGGCCAAGCAAATGCTTAAGTTCCTTTCAGCTCTCTCCTCTGTGACCTGGGTCCTCCTGGGGCCTGCATGTGAGAATGTCCTGTGGACTACTGGGGACCTTTGGGAAGTCTTTTTACTGTTTCTCTTGTCCTCTAGATTCTGCCACACAGAGAGGAGAAAGTGGTAGTTGGAACGGCATTCTGAAAAGGACATCTTCAGGTTCTGTACCAATGACCAGAACCAACGATCTGTATCCCTAGGCTGGGACTGCCCCAGGGTCCCAACAGACCCTCCACTGTGCAGGTGCTCAGCCCAATCACTGACTCAGGGAAGGAAGGAACTTACCAGGTTCTTGCACATCATATCAGCTCCATGCAGGATCAGCAGTTTGATGATTTTGTAGCGGTTGAGCCTCACAGCATCATGTAGGGCACTGTCCCCTTCCTAGAAATGGTGTAGCACTTAGCATGACCCTTGGGGGGGGGGCAGGAGATGGGGAGCAGGGTGACAGAAGGTGGGCTGGAGACCCTACTCAGGAGCCACAGTCTGGAGGGTTCCCGAGGGCCACTCGCTTGGGGGAGTGCATGAGCTGCCCACATAGCCATGGTGGGGCCAAGCCAGCGGGAGGCCAGCACTCACTCTGTCTCTGGCATTGATATCCAAGCCCAGGGATAGGAAATGTTCCACAATCTCCACGTGCCCCGTGCGGACCGCCACGTGCAAGGGAGTGCTCAGCAGCTGCATGGGAGGAAGCAGGACGTGCTGGCTGAGGGGCCTGGACTGTGATGTCCAGGGGTTGACGGCTATACTGATTCTAGCTTGAACCCTCCCCCATGTCCTAGTGCCAAGGCCTGAACCCTGAAAGGGCAGCGAATGAAATAGTTTCCCACCATCCTATCCAATAGTCCAACTCTAAAGCCTTACGTGCCACCTCCTCTAAAAACGGTCTCTGATTCTCCTCTCGCTGAGCTGTGGGCAACCATTCACTCCTCCACTCTTATTTTTTTTATTTATTTATTATTATTTTGCAGTACTGGGGATTCAAGCCAGGGCCTTGAACACGCTAGACAAGCACTGTACTGCTGAGTCTGTCCTCAGCCCACTCTTCTTCAAATACTTATAAAGATGCCACTTGTTGGGGGATGATTGTGTGGTGGGCATGGCAGAAACTTACAAAGCATTAGCTGTATGTTGAATAAATAATTCAACATATATTTGCCCACCTAATCTACACAAGAACCCTGCAAGACATTTTACAGATGAAGAAGAGAGGCTCAGAGATCCAGTTACTTGTTCCAGTTACCAGTGAAGAGACAAATGAATGGAAGGAGGGTAGATTAACAAATAAACGAAGAGACGAATAAACGGATGGATGGATGGATAAACAAATAGAAGAGTGATGAAGGATGGCATGGGATAACAAATCCCAAGTCTCCTGTACTCCCTTCTTCTCTACTCTTTGGTCTCCATCCCTAGATGTGGTCCCTCAAGGGGCAACTGCTCTGAGGCCACCCTAGAAACTAGACAAGTTCACTACTTTTCTGCCACCTGCCCTTTGCCCCCTGCCCTCTTCCCTGCAGTCACCCCAGCATCTATTGCACCCGAGCACTGCTGCCGTACCTTATCCCGCACATTGGTGTCTGCTCCTCGGCTTTGCAGAAGTTTCACCACTTCCAAGTGGCCTCCGCGGCAGGCCCAATGCATGGCTGTGCAGTCCAGCTAGATGGGGAGGATGGGGCTTAATTGTAGAGCTGCAGGGAAGAAATGTCCTGGGAGAAAGAACCCCAGCAAAGAAAGTGGAGGGACATCTGGGGAAAGGTACAGAGAGTGGGCAGAGACACTGTGGGCAGTGGAACAGAAGAGCCCTTAGGGCCGATCTAGTCCAAGCCAGTTAGGAAGGAGATGGGACTCGCCCAATGCCATACAACCTACTAGAGGTGGCACCTGGCCCCTGAGCCCCGCTATTGTGTCCCAGCTTGGGTTCCATTGTCAGGGAGAGGAGGTCTATTGGTATAGGACCAGCTCTTGCCTCCCCCACCCCCCAATACCCGCCCTCTCACTCACCCGGTCCTGGAAGTCCACGGTGGCCCCACTTTCCAGAAGCTTCTCTAGTATCTCCATGTGGCCCTCCAGGGAAGCTCTGTGCAGTGCTGTCCGACGGAACTGTCCCCAGAGAGGCTGTGAGGCCTTGGCCTCTGGCCCCAGGTCTGAGTCCATCTCCCACCCAGACTGAGGCCTAGGCTCTGCTGCAACTCAATTCTGACCCCCTATGCTGAGTCCCCTTCTCCCCCCACCCCCGTGTTTTGTAGCTCCTTTCCAGATCAGCCTTAGAGCCCCTGCCCTTCTCACCCTTGGAGATTGACCTTCTCGCTGGCCCCAGCATATCCCATACCTTTGCAGGGGCCAGTCCCTCTGCTGGGAATGTCTGTTTTACCCTCACTTTCCCTGATGAAAATCCTCTACTCCTTCAAAATATGGCTCATGTGCCATTATTTCCTTTGAACCTCTAGGCAGAGTTGCCTCTAGGCTCAGCTGACCCTTGACCTTGAGCATTGGAGGGTAGATGGAGTCTCACTGGACTCCATTTCCCAAAAGTGCCGAGCATAGTGTCGGAGGGTAGGTTGCCCCGGTTACAATTCAGGGAAGGAAAGGACTTCCTCCCTCCTGTGCAGCCACTTTCCTCTTTGGACTTTGAAACACTGGGCCATGCATGACTTTCCATATGCTAAGATCCAGTTCTGGGCACTCTCCCACCACTCTCAACCCTTGTCTTTTTTCTTTTTTTGTATTTCAACACCTAGTAGATAGGAGGTGCTTGAACAGACAAAACGGATAAACCCTGGAGGCTAAAGAACAGAAAATACATGTTAAAATCTACAGTAATGCAGAACAAAGGTAGGTGACCATTAATGCTTAGTCCCAGTATATGAGAATAAGGGGACCCTTATGAAGTATAAAGAGGCAGCTTCAAGGAAAACAAAAATAAGCATGATGGGTGATGGAAACATTTTTAAAATAGATGGTGGTGAGGCGGGTGCAGTGGCACCTGCCTGTAATCCCAGCTGCTTGGAAAGCTGGAGCAGGAGGATTATAAATTTGAGGCCAGCCTGGGCAATTTAGGGACACTTGGTCTCAAAATACAATTTTAAAAGAGGTGGGACCAAGCAGGGTGGTGCATGACTCTAGTCCCAGAGACTTGGGAGGCTGAGGCAGAAAAATTTTCAGTTTGAGACAATTTAGTGAGACTCTTGTCTCAAAATTTAAAAATTAAAAGAAAAAAAAAAAAGACTGGGAGTGTAGCTCAGTAGTAGAGTGTCCCTAGGTTCAATTCCCACACCACAAATTAATTCATTAATTTAACTTAATGAAAAAGAACTAGAGATATAGCTGGCTGGTAAAGTGCCCCTGGGTTCAACCTTCAGTACTGTAGAAATACAAAGAGATGTTGGTGATGTTTGCACAGCTTTTTAAGTGTAATTAATGTCACTGAAGTTAGACGTTAAAATGGCATATTTCATGTTATATTTTAACCCAATAAAATAATGCAAATAGGGGCTGGGGACATGGCTCGTTGGTAGAGCACCTGCCTAGCATGCACCAGGCCTTGGGTTCGATCCACAGTATCACACATGCAAAACATAATTTTTAAAAGGCAGCATGAGATTATACCATAAGAAACAAAAATGCCATATCTTAGTATGGGCTTTATAGTTTTTTCATTAATTCAATTAATACTTATGGAGGTGCAAATATTTCATTTGATCATAATATGTGACACAAGTAGGCCAAATTTCAGCAGAGGAGGCGGAGGCCTGGAGAGGTGGAAGCGACCAGCCACAGATCTCAAAGCTAGGGAGTGGCAGACATGGGATTTACCCCCATATCTCCTTCTTCTGAGCTATTTTTATTTGATGCCATTCCTCCACCTTCCCTAGAGAAATTCGTGGCATAAGTTACTCTGCAGGTGGTTCATAGTTGGGGAAAGATCTAACAAGGATTTAGGTAAATTCTTGGGTGAGGAAGAGAACATCCTATTCTGGGCACTCCTTAACCCACCCCCAAAACGCCCATGGCTGTTCTCAAACAGGCCCACAAATGGGCTGAACCAGGGTCTGGGCAGGGAGAGCTAGGCAGGTGCAGGTGCAGGTGCAGGTGCAGGGGAGGAGACTTCACCTCATCGCAGGTGTCAGCTGAACCCCCATCTGCAAGGAACTTCTCAATGACCTTCATTTTCCCCTCCACTGCAGCTTTCAGGAATGTCTCCTTATCCACGGGGCCGGTCTGCAGGGTGAGAGTCCGGTCATGGAGGGTGATCCATGTGATCCGGGCCTCCCGGCTTTCCCCTGCCCAGAGATGGCCTCCTCAGAACCCTTACGATCTCCTCTGGCTCTGGAGGCGGCTCGTGGGCTGCAGCCAAGGCTTCCCGCTTCTTCTGCTTGCGTTTTTTCCGCAGCTCGATGAGGTTCTGGATCCCGCCCACATCGATGATCTCCCGCCGCAGGTCCAGGGATGTCTTACGCACGCGCTCTTGGCCCTGAGTTTTGATGACCCATCAACCCACACTGGAGTTTAGAGGCGGGGCGGGGGTTGAGGTCCCGTGAGCTAAACTGGAGATGGGGGTGGCGTGTGTAGGGAGACCTTCTAGAGAGAAGGAACCAAGTCCAATTCTCTTTCCAGGACAAGATGGCAAAGATGCGGGGAAGGCAGGGAAGGGGAGTCTGATTAGTCAGGTCTAGCGGGGCCGAATGTCTGCATTGCTCACGTGCTTTCAGGAGCTCTGAGCTGCTGGTCCAGGGACAGCAGGAGGAGAGAAGGAACGCTGGCCATACATGCGTGGCTGAGCGCAGATGTTGGGGTCTCCCACACTTACCTTAACCTTTTGCAAAGCCAGATTCTGGGCACCGAGGTGCTTCTCGTCCTCTAGCACCAGCATGTCCATGGGCAGCTTCCCCTGGGCGGCTCCCCGCAGTTTCTGGTGAGTCAAGAGAGTACCTTCTCCAGGACCTCGAGGCAAGGGGGAGGTTTGGGGGAGCCGGTATCCACTCCCCCAACCACCCCAAGGTCACACTAACAATGACTCCCGTGTGACCTCAGAACCCAGGCAAGAACAAGGCTCCTAGAGAAGTACCCAGAAGGGGGCTCGTCCCACAATTCCTCATCTCAGGCTCAATCCCAACCCCTGGCTCAAACACCTGCTTCCCAAACAAGACTGAAGGCCCCTGCAGTGAGTTTTTATGAAGTTAAATATGTAGATGTCTCTTGATATCCACAGGGGATTAGTTCTATGGCTCATTGCAATACCAAAATCTGCAGATGCTCAGGCCCCTTGTATAAAAAGGCATAATATTTGCATATAATCTCCACACATTCTCCAGTATACTTTAAATAATTTCCAGATTGTTTACAATACCCAATGCAGTATAAATGCTATATAAACAGTTGTTACACTTTATTGTTTAGGAAACAATGACAGGAAAAAATCTGTGCATGTTCAGTGCAGATACAATCTTTTCCCCCAAATATTTTGCAAATGTGATTGATCTAATCCACATAAGCAGAAGCCGGGGATTCAGAAGTTCTAAATGCATTCACTTTTTTAAAAATTTTGGCATTAAAAATTCACATTGAGGGCTGGGGATATGGCTTAGTTGGTAGAGTGCTTGCCTTGCATGCACAAGGCCCTGAGTTCAGTCCTCAGCACCCGCCCCCCGCCACAAAATCACATTGAGTGGGGCATGGAGGTGAACATATGTAATCTCAGTGACTTAGGAGTCTGAAGCAGGACAATCAAAAATTTGAGACAAACGTCAGCAACTTAGTGAGATCCTGCCTCTAAAAAAAAGGACAGGAAAGTAAATCAGTATCAAAGCACCCTTGAGTTCAATCTTCAGTCCCCCCCCCCCCAAAAAAAAAAATCATATTGATGAGAAAATTGTGATCTGAAATGGTAGTTTTTAAATTCTTTTTTTTTTTTCAGTGCTGGGGAGCAAACCCAGGACCTCATGTATGCTAGCTGAATGCTCTACCACTAAAATTCATTTCTGGTCCTTTTAAATTTTGTATTTTTGAGACAGGGTCCCTCTAAGTTGCCCAAACTGGCTTCGAACTTGTGATCCTTTGCCTCAGCCTCCTTAGTAGCTGCAATTATAGGCATGCACCACTGTTCCCAACTGCTATTTTACATTATTTTTAAGTAGACTTCTTGACAATATAAAAAGTTGGCAGTTATATTAGACATTGACTTTCCCCCCAAAAGCTTGGAAACTATTGCTCTCAGGGAAACTAAGGGATGGGAGCAGCTTCTCAGCTTTCAGGCTGAGGTGGATCCTGAGCAGCCACTGTATTCTCACTGTAATAATGGTTCATCTCCCTTCCAGATCTTCTCTCCATTTGTAACTCTGTTTTTCAAGACTTCTTCTTTACTCTTTGTGAAGTGCTGGCACCCCATGCCTGGAGCCCCCATGCCCATGTATTGTGTAGATGCCAGCCCAGAAACCTCTGCCCAGGTTGGAGGGTGCTGAGAGGCTGGAGGGCAGCTGAGGGGACTGGTACCTTCATGGTGCCCAGCTGCATTTCTCATTTCTCACTGAGTCCCAGAGTAGGCCTCTTCCAAGATGGATTGGAGGGCTTATTTTCTAGGTCTCCTATTTGAACTAAACCCAGGGCTTCATGTAGACCAGGCAAGTGCTTTACCATTGAGCTTCATCCCCATCCCCAGTTCCCCAGGTCTCCATTTTGAAGGATCTGTCAACTACTGCCTTCTCTCTTTCTTGTCGGGCTTACATGGCTTGGGGTCTCCCAAGTGCTGGCCTCACTTGAAACACTGCATCTTCTTCCAGGGATAAGAGATGACTTGGGACTGCAGCTACTGCTGCATGTGGGACTCTGGCTGGGCTCCCCAAGGAGCATCCAGAGGGCGGGCTTAGTGTCCCCAGCACCTGTGACAGGCCTAACACATTGTAGGTGCTCAAAGAATTTATGGTGAATGAACAAAGGAATGAGTGAATGGAAACGGGAGGCGGGCTCAGCATCTCTGCCCATCCCTAAGTCCTCAGTGATGACCTGGCCCAGAAAGCTCCCACAAGAGAGATCCAGCAGCTCCTGAGACCTCCTCACACCATTGGAAGGGGGCATGGGCTAGCCAGAGGCTCTCTGTGAAAACCCTGCTGAGCTGGGGCCTGCTGGGAACAAATATGGACTCTAATGCCACCCACGTCTTATTCATAGCCCCTCAGTTCAGGTTCAGCCTTGTGGGCTGTGAAATAGGTGCTCCCATCTTACCTCACAGATGATTATTCATATTAAATGAAAGAATGTCTCTAAGTGCCTGGCAAGAGTGGGCACTGGATGGGGATGTTGGCTCTGAGGGCACCAGGTGTCCTGATAGCCCTGCAGCTATATTTGTTAGATGAATGAATGGAAGAGTACTGCTCTGTGTCCCCTTACTGAAGATTCCTGTGTCCAGTGGCAGCACTCCAGAAGTGACACAGCAGCATGACTCCCCTCCCTGGCACTGACCAGCCATGTGCACACGCCCTTAGGGGAATGAGAAGTTGGATTCCTGGAGATCCAGGGATGCCCCTCTTCCCTTGAGTTCTGATCCTTTTACTTTTTCTTACTTCTCATTCAGCCACACTTCCTTTTGTGAATGGTGTGTTCCTCTGAACTGATCTATTATCTCCTCCTGAGGGGGAGGGTGTGTTGGGGATTGCATCCAGGGGTACTTTACCACTGAGCTACATCCTTAGTATTTTTCTTTTACTTTCCTTTCCTTTTCTTTTTTTTTTTTTTTTCTTTTGAGATAGGATCCTCACTAAGTTGTTGAAGGTCTCAGATTTACAATCCTCCTGCCTCAGCCTCCTAGGTGGCTGGGTTACAGGCATATGCCATGATACCCAGCTATCTCCCTCTTTCCATTCCTGTTAGAACTAGCCTTTCTCCATCCTACAAGTCCTTCTCAGGGCCATCAGAGCTTCCTTACTAAAATAGGTCAGAAGGTACCACTCTCTACTCAACAACACTTAGTGGCTTCCCATTGCCCACAGAATAATGGCTTTCTCTGATTTGTCCTCTGTCTCCCTTTCTGGCCTTAGCCCCTCCTATCAGACTTTCTTATTAGTTACACTTTCTCTTATGGATACTTTAGGTGCTGTCATTTCCTTGGCCTAGAATATTCTCCCCAGTTCTGATCTCCACTTACCACTCTTGAAGGTCCAACTCTAATATCATCCATCCCACAGAGTAGTCCTTGAAGGCCTCCAGATGGAATGACCCACCCACCCTTTGTGCTTCTTCACTACTGATCCATATCTCCATTTAACCATTTCTACTTGACTATGAAACTGAGAAATATTGGCTGAAATGAATGCAGAGTTGGTGAAAAGAAGGTAGGGTCTGGGCTTTATTGGTCCTTCCATTCCTCTCAGCATTGGACTCTTGGCAGAGCAGACACTAGGCCAAGTGTTAGTTTAAATAAAATTTAGACAAACTGGGGATGGTGCACAAACCTGTAATCCCATTGACTTGGAAGGCTGAGACAGGAGAATCATAAATTCAAGGCCAACCCAGGCATCGTGGTGAGACTGTGTCTCAAATAAAATAAAAAGGGCTGGAGATACACCTCAGCTCAGTGGTAAAGCATCCCTGGGTTTAATCCTCAGTATCAAAAATAAACAAATAAATAAATGATTTAGAGTATGACAAGACTGCACTCCTGCCCTCTTCCTTATCCTAGAGGAAATGCAATTGTGCCACCAAGGACTCCCCACATGTGGCTGCAGTACTGGGGAAATCAATGCTTCCTTTCCCAGCATCCCTTCATCGCTTGGTACCATTTATATGTGTGTTGGGGGGGGGGTACTGGGAATTGAAACCAGGGCATTGTGCATGCTAGGTAAGCACTCTACTGCAGCTACATCCTCAGTCCTTTTTATTTGAGGCAGGATCTCATTATGTCACCCAGGCTGGCCTTGAACATTCTATCCTCCTGCCTCAGCCTCCTGGATAGCTGGGATTACAGGCAGGCACCACTATGCTGAGGCACAGTCCCAGTCTTTATTCCCCTGTAATGACCCAACTTCAGGAAGTTGCTCCTTCCCAGCCTCCCAGAAGCAGCGGGGGGTTCTCAGGGCCACAAATCCTGAAGTTCCCAGGCAGTGCCCACTGTTTGCCCTGTACAGCCTGGCTGGTCTCCTGAAACCCAGTTGGGTGGAAAGGGTCTTGGGAAGCTTGTCTTGGCTCCCATGGACCACTACTCTGTTTTGGAGACTGAAGCCTCAGTCTCTCATCACCAGCAACCCTCTCTGCCAGGAATGCGCCTAGCAGGGCTCTTGGGGATACTTGTCACCCATCCCACCACCACAGTACAACGGCCAGGCTCTTCCTTCTCATGACAAAAGAGATGGATGTCCCCACACTCTGTCAGGCCTCCACGCCCCTGTTCCCACCTCACTCTCCTCCTCCTGTGCCAGCCGCTGCTCGATGAGTGCTGTGGCCTTCTGCACCGCCTCGGAGCTCTCCAGTGGGCCCTCCATGGTGCCGTCCATAACTGCCTCCCTCTGCAGGCAGAAGGCACTGGGGGCTATATAGGCCAGAGAGCTCATCAGAGAGCTCTGGGTGCCTTTGTCATGAGCTCACTGGCCCAATTCTTCACCTGCCTCCCCCACCTGTCACCTTCACCTCAGGCAGCCCCAGGGAGCAGGGGAAGCCAGGACAGGGAGCAAAGTAGCCCTGCCCCCAACTACTGGCATACTAGAGCCCAGGGCACAGTGCCTCAAGGGTAGGGGAGCAGGGAGGAGCCTGTTCAGGCTGCCTAAAAGCTCGGGTCCCAGCCAGGCAAATGGGTTACACAAAGCACCTGCTGGCTGCTTCCTCTGGCTGGATGGCAGTGCCACCTGCTGGATGCTTAGAAACCCTGCCCAACTAGTGCCAGTGTGGGGCCTGAAAACCAAACAGGGGTACCCATGACAGGCCCGTGCCCCCAGGAATACCTGTGAACAGGTCCTGCCAGCCGTGGGGAGAGGTAGACTCCAGACTGCCTTGTCTAGCCTGGGGTACCAGGACAGCAGAGGGAGTCAGGGCAGTCGGCCACCTCCCTCTGATCACGGCTCCTGGGGCTCAGCCTCTCTGGGGCCCCACAGCACCCCCTAGCGAAGCATCACTGCATGGGACCATGTCCATTAGTCACAGAGAGATCTTATCCATCTGCCTCCCTCAGGGACCTCTGCAGGAATTACAGGGTTGTTTCAAGACAAGGATCTTGGGAAGCCAGAGTGCAGTGCCAAAGCCAGCTGACAAGGAGCACCAGACAATGCGGGGCTACCTTGACCAGGGGCCAGCCATGCTCACTGAGAACAAAGAATACTCCCAGCTGGAGAGAAAGCAGACCTGCACTCACCCGGTTCCTCACTGGAACTTGTGGGACGAGCCCTGGGTCATCCTGACACACAAGGAAATGGTTCCCTTTTCTCTCTGGTTCACTAAACCCTGACATATGCTCATCATCTAAATTTGTCAGAAATCCTGCTTTGACACCCACTCGGGCAGCATTGGCTGGACTTCCACACACACCTTGATCATGAGGGCCTGGCCTGCGGGACCAGAGCCTAGAGCCAACCCACTCCTACAGGAGGGGCAGACCAGCAGCAACTAATGCCACCTTCCTAGGTGTTGCTTCACTGTCAAGGCACTGTCACATTGGCTCTTCCACTTAACCCTCATAGCAACTGCAGGCAGAGTCACCTCCACCTTAGAGAAAAGCCACGTGGGTTCGGAGGTTAAGATCTCCAAGAATACAAGAGGAACTGAAATTAGGGCCCAGAAGATAGCAGCTCTGGTCTGTGTGCTCTGCTGTGCCTGGACAGCCGCGGAGGCCATGCCCACCTGTTCCCACAGAAGCAGGATCCACAGAACTCAAAGTTGAATGCCAGGCAAAAGAGGAGGAGCCAAAGGCTTTATTGATAAATATGCACATATGTCTGTACATGAGGACCTGCTGAGGAGGCCATGACCAGGCTGCAGACCCACCACCACTTGAGTTACAGCCAGGAAATGGCCCCGTGCAGACCCCTGCCACAAAGCCCAACCATCCAGCCCCCTGCCTCATCTCTGCCAATTGTGCTGGAGGCAGGGAGAGGCAGAGGCCCGCCTGCCTCAGGCTCCCCAAGCCCTGGGACTCACTGGTGGTTCCCTCCTCCCAAGGGGACTGGCACTGTGCCCAGGGCAAAGTCAGGGTGGGAGCGGAGGAGGGAGACAGCAGCTGCTTCCCGACCCTGAGCAGAAAACCAGAGTGAGCACAGTGCAGCACCGGATGACAGATCTGGGCCTCAGGGCCTCCAGGCTGGCCCCTGTGGCTCCAACCTGCTTCAGGAGAGATGCAGGGTGGAGGGCCCCAGTCACCTTTTCTCTGACAAGGTTGGCAAGGCCTGTGTGTGGCAGCATTGTTCCCTGGGTGCTGGGCACTGGTGGCCCACAGTGCCCCTGGGAGGCTGGGTCCCTTCACGGCTCACCCAGAGCCATAGAGCGGGGAGATGCCCTTAAAGAAAACAACAGCACTTGAAGGCAGCAGCAGGGTGGGGGGGCCTCGTGCTCCAGGCCAGCTGCTCAGCCCTGCAGAGGCCCTCCATGGCCTCTCTTCCCAGGAGTCCACAGGCCCATCAGTCCTGGGGTGGTGGGGGCTGGTTGATGATGACCTGGATGACAAAATCTTTCTGGATCTTTGTTTCCTGGAGCCGTGTGCGGTCTGTGAGCAGCTTTCCAGAGAAGAACCACCGCTGCCAGGATGGTTCGATGCCTTCCTGGGTGTGCAGCTGCCTCTTGAGCTGCCCCACTGTGTCAGGCAGGCTGGCGCTGAGCCTCACGTCCTTGCCCGTGGAGAGGCGCACCTTCAGTGGGAACTCACGGCGCACACTGGGGACAGGCTCGGGGGGCTCCAGACTCTCCTCCTCAGTGTGCTCCAGCAGCAGGTTCACGGGTGGTGACAGGCAGTAGATGGGCAGCTGGTAACGATTGCCCAGCTCGTCGTAGCATTCACAGAGGGTGCCTGTGGGAAACACAGGGTGGTCAGTGTTCACCTGGGGATGTTGTCATGCACTGAATGCTTGAGTTCCTGAAAATTAATGTTAAAGCCCTAACACTCCAGTGTAACTTTCTGGAGATGAGACTTCTATGAAAACAATCAGGGTTAAATCAGTCATAAAGGTGAGGCCTAATCCATAGGATTACTATCCTTATGAGATGCCAGAGAGCTCTCTCCCCTTCTCTCTTCCCAGCATGTGAAGACACAGCAAGAAGCTGGCCATCTGCAAAATAAGAAGAGAACCCTCACCAAAAACTAAATCAGTCGTCACCCTCATCTTGGATTTCCAGCTTCCAGAACTGTAAGAAACAGATTTCTGTTTTTGAAGGCACCCAGTCTGTGGAACTTTGTAATAGCAATCTAAGCAGATTAATCCAGCCACCATGGCTGCCCCACAGTCCCCACAGAAAGGTTTTTCTGGGACAGCCTTATGACCAGAGGAGCACAGGGCTGGAGCTAGGAAGACCTGGGCTGGTATCCTGGCTCCACCAGGTGCTGGCTCATCAGCCCCAGCACATCGTTTAATTTTTCATTTGTTCACCCAACAACTGCTGAGCACAAGGTGCTGGATGCCGGGTGCAAGACAGTGCAGCTGGAAGTGTATTCACTGAGTCGCAGGCACGACCTTGATGCTGGGACTGTATAACGGACATTATATGCACCTTGCTGAATCCTAACAGTTGTGTACCTTAACACTTGCAAAGTCCTCTGGTTCTAATATAAGAAGTGGCTTGTTCAAGGTCACACAGCTAGGATACAGTCAAGTTAAGACCTGGGTCTGTGACTCTCTACTTTGCATAGCCCATGAGCCTGATGTGAACTTAAATGAGACCATGCAGTAGAAGCTTCTAGCTCAATGTCTGGCACATAAAACCCAACAGAAGATTGGTGCTTCAGATGTTCTAGGATCCCAAAGCACCCTGAGCAAGTGTTCAGCTTTCAGGTTTGCTGGTGTCTTTGTGTCCTCTCAGTAGTCAAGCAGGGACCTCTGTCTTTTGTTTCTTTGTGTCCCCACCTTCCTGATTCATGCTCTGAGGGGTGGCTCAATTGAACAAGTGAATAGCTGCTCCCCCCACCCACACACCTCCCTGCCTCCACCAGCTTGGATAGAAACTTCTGATGTGGCTGATCACTAGCTGTCCTCCACCACTAATCTCTGTGGTGGATGACCACCCCCCCCCCGGCCCTGCCCCCCGCACCGGCTCAGCTCACCATGAGGCAAAGTGATACTGGCTCCATCCAAGATGGCCTGAGCCAGCTCGTGGTCATTGGCCTCGGCAGCATAGGCAGCAGCCTTGAGGGCATCCCAGATCTCCTTGCGGCCCTCAAAGGCAGGTGCCGTGTCCCAGAATTCATCCCGTTTGCTCCGAAGCTGCCCATCGGTCATGGGGTAGTCGCTCTTCCATTTGAGCCGTTCCTTCTTCAGGGGCTCATTGCGTCCTAGACAGGGCACAGGGACAGGCTCAGCATCTCTAAAGCCACCTGGGTTACAATTCACCTTCTCACTAGCCCCTCACCACTTGAGGCCAGGCCCTGATCTGCCTAACACCCCACAGCACTGGCTCCTTAGTATTTAGGTCTCTGGGCCCCTCCTCAATAGCAGGGAGGAGTCTGGAAACCCAACTTAGGGATATAAGATAAGTTTGTCAGCAAAGTATTTGCAGATGCTCCTCAACTTACAATGAGGTTATGTATGGATAGTTGAAAATATCTGAAGTCAAAAGTGCATCTGTTCACCCAACTTCCTGAACATCACAGCTTAGCCACACACTGCGGAATGTCGGTTGTTTCCCTTTGTGGTCATGTGGCCCAGTGGGCGCTGCCACTGCCCAGCATGGAGCGTTGCTGGCCAGGGAAAAGCTAAAAATTCAAAATTCAAGTTGTGGGTTCTACTGAATGTGTAACATTTTTGCAGTCTCAGGAAGTAAAAATAAAAAATCTAAGCTGGGGACTTTCTGCACACCTTTGCTTGTCATTGAAGTTTTAATTTTACTCTTTCTTTGAGTATGAAGTAACATATGTTCAGCATAAAAGAAATGTGGAAAGAATGTAGATGTGTAAAAATAGTAACAGCCACCATTTATAGAACTGACACGTGCCAGATCACAGGCTGGGCACTTTGGACTTGTTCTCTTTTTTGCAGCACTGGAGGCTGGACCCAGGGCCTCGCACACACCAGGCCAGCATCCTACCACAGAGCTGCAGCCCCAGTCCTCTTTATTCATTTGACCTTCGCAACAACCCAATAGATTGGGAAACTAAGACTCAGAGGGTTTGTCATTTGTCTAAGGACACATAAGTTCTGACTTAATGCAAGACTTTAACTCCAAAACCCAGCCTCAGACAACCGAGGGGAAAATTACTCAGAATTCCACCGTTTAGAAGTAATGACTGCTGACACCTACACATTCCTTCCAGCTACCCTTTCCCCATTTTTCTCAATATAGTTGAGTTTGTATTATTACATTTCTTTTTATCCCTTGTTCCAGAAAGAACTTAAGACATTTTTGTGTTAATATACAACTTTCTTTTCATCTCATATTTATATTACTGCCAACTTCCACATGATTAAAAATTATAAGCAGTTTGAATGTCTTGTTACTAACTTGCTGCCATACAGATAGTTACAATGGTCCCCACCCCTATGGGCCTGGGGCTGGAACCCAGGACCCAGGACCCCACACATGCTAGGCAAAATGCCCCACTAGTGAGCTACAGCCTCAAACTAGCCCAAGACATTTTTTTTTAAATCATAACCAACCAACCAATTTCTACAGCATCTGAAGAAGAAAACATTTCTGTCAAATGTCAATTTTCTTGTTACCCAGCTCCAAGTGACCTCCAAGATAGCCCTGGATCCTCAAAGGTGTCTGGAGGCTCAGACATCTCAAAGCTAAAGGCAGAGTGACAACACGAGCCAGGTGGCAACACTCACTAAAGCTGGGGCTGCCTTCAGGCTGCTCCCACTGGCTGGGGCAGAAGGGGGTTACTCAGTGAAAGAGGACAGCATTCACTGGCTACCAACTGTGGGCAAGCACCCCATGTAAGCTCTTCATTTGTATTCACTCTCCCATTTCACCCTTGCATAGCCTTAGGAGGTGGGTATCATTGTTGCTGCTTCACAGATGATACAGAAGATGAAAGAGATTAAATGACTTGCCTGAGCTCTCAAAGTGAAGAGTGACAGAGAGGATTCCACCTCAGGTCTGACTAAATCCTGTGGTTTGCCATCTAAATTCACAGCTACCTATGTGGGCAGAAAACTCTGTAGCCAAACATTCAATTTAAAGTGTTCTGGGGGTTGGAAGAAGGAAAGCAAATCCTCTTTAGAGGAAACCAACTTCAAACCAGGCCTCAAAAAATTCCCAAAATAAAGTTTCAAGGAAAAATAATAATAAGGGCATAGTTAAAAAGCAAACAAAAACATCATATGCAAGGGAACAGTGTGAGTCAGCAGATAGAAAATCAGACAACGAAGACCTCAGACTAGAATTTATCAGACAGATTACAAAATACTGAGTTTAAGAAATGAGAGCCTTAAACACATGGATTAAGGCTAGGAGATCATAAAGAATTCCTGAGAGTAGGGCTTGGAGATGCACACTTGTAATCCCAGTGATTCAGAACGCTGAAGCACAAGGATCATAAGGTTGAGGCCAGCCTCTGCAATTTAGCGAGGCCCTGTCTCAAAATTTAAAAAAAAATTAATAAG